TAGGCTTTCGACTACCTCCCAGAGGGCATTTTCCATCATCGCCCCTAGTTTATGGAATGGCCCACCGGATTAAAAAGGCTGTCAAGACGGATCTCCTATGGGAGGCCTTCCTAGACTAGATATCCCGGCCTCGGAAACCCTTTTAGGAGAATCCTCCAGGAACCTCTTTAGTTGCTACGTAAAAGATACTGCCATTTGCCAATTGATTAATGTTGCCTGCATTATGTGGTTTGTATAATTGTATAAATGTTGTTAGCCATTTGGTCAGTTTTAATTTGTATGGTTTTAATCTTTATTAGATTTAATGCTTTTTTAAGGGGGGGAGATTATAGGGGTTGATTGCATTGTGTATTTATACTGTTAGCCTCCCCGATTGTCCTCAGAGGAGCAGGATACAAATAAATATTATTATTATTATTATTATTATTATTATTATTATTATCAAATTTGCAGATGACACCAAATTAGGAGGAATAGCTAATACCCCAGAAGACAGGATGAAAATTCAAAATGACCTTAATAGATTAGAAAGTTAGGCCAAAGCTAACAAAATGAATTTCAACACAGATAAATGTAAGGTACTGCACTTAGGACAAAAAGTCAAATGCATAGATATAAAATGGGGGACACCTGGCTTAACAAGACTATGTGTGAAAGGGATCTAGGAGTCTGAGTGGACCACAAGTTGAACATGAGTCAACAGTATGATGCAGCAGCTAAAAAGGCCAATGTAATTTTAGGCTGCATTAATAGAAATGTAGTATAGGGAATTAATAGTGCCACTGTATTCTGCTTTGGTCAGGCCCCACCTGGAATACTGTATCCAGTTCTGGACACCACAATTCAAAAAGGATGTTGAAAAACTGGAGCGTGTCCAGAGGAGGGCAACAAAAATGGTGAAGGGTCTGGAAACCATGCCCTATGAGGAATGACTTAGGGAACTGGGTATGTTTAGCCTGGAGAAGAGATGGTTAAGTGGTGATATGATAGTCCTGTTCAAATATTTGAAATGGTGTCATATTAAGGAGGGAGCTAGCTTGTTTTCTGCTGCTCCAGACAATAGGTCCCAGAACAACAGATACATGCTACAGGAAAAGAGATTCCACCTCAACATTAGGAGGAACTTCCTGACAGTGAGAGCTGTTTGACAATGGAACACACCCGCTTAGAGTGTGGTGGAGTCTCCTTCTTTGAAGGTCTTTAAACAGAGGCTGGGTGGCCATCTGTCGAGAATGCTTTGATTTTGAGTTTCTGCATGGCAGGGGGTTGGACTGAATGTTCCTTGTGGTCTCTTCCAACTCTATGATTCTATGATTGTATGAATTTTTATGTAAATCCTCTGTAGTCATTATTTTTGTTTTCTTTATGTTCAGCACTAAGCATGCCTTTGCACTTTCAGCTGTAACATTCATTAGTAATTGTTCTAGGTCCATTATGTTTTCTGCTAGTGTCTAGGAAAGCAGCCAGATGCTGATAGCCAATACAAAAATAAAGAAAGGAACTCCTCACAGAACTTGTGGAATTAAAGCAATCCACAAAGAGCAAACCTACAAATAAAGGCATGATCCAGTAACAAAGGTCCATGGGATCAAACCAAGGAGTCAAACCAAGAGCGTAGTTGAGCAGTCCAAGAAGGTCAAGGGTTCCAGAGAAGCAGAATGATCAGGCAGTCCAAGACTCAAAAGTCCAAGCTGAGAAGACAAATTGAAGGTCAGGAAACAGTGTGCTTTCACTAGAAAACTCAGATAGCTTCTGACAAAAGCTCTGGTGTCCTTCCCAGGCTTTTATCATCAGCTCTCATTAGTTCAGGTAGTCTTTGATGCATTGGCATTTTGCATTAAGCCTCCTTGAGCACAAGAGTTCTTTCAGTTCTTCTTTGGCTAAAGGTAGGAATGTTGGCATCCTACTCTATGTCTACAGTTCCCAAAGGCTGTGCTGCCTGGAGGTTTTGCTGCTGAGTCTCTTCTGAGGCCACAGACTCTGCTGGGGGTCTCAGGTAAGAGCTAGGGCCAGGCTGAGGCTCAGATTCTCCTGGGGCCCTCAGGACAGAGCAAGGGACAGGCTGTGGTACATGCTTATGCTCAGAATCTTCTTCTGAGGGCCTAAGCAGACAGCGCAAAGCTGGGTGCCCCAACCCCTTCCTGAATACATCATCAGAGCACCCGGTGCTCTGCACAACCAGCGCTTCCATGAACTATATCCACCGCAGCGTGCACAACGCTGTGGCAGAAAATATGCCGAAGGTGCACCAGAGGCCTTTTGTGGCGCACCTTCGGCGTCTTGCAGAAGGAGCGCTATTTTAGTGGTCCTTCCTGGACCTGGGACATTGCGGCTCGGGGCCAAGGAGTGCGGATACCTCGGCCCGATCTGCAGCTTCCTGGGATGGCCCCGTGCCGCCCATCTGCTTCCCCCCTTCGTCCTCAGCCAGGCTGTGCATGACAGCTAGTAATATGGTGTTATCCACATATCTTAGATTGTTGATTTTCCTACCTCCTATCTTCATTCCTCCTTCTTCTGAATCTAAACCTGTTATTTGCATGATTTCTGTGTACAAACTAAACAAATAGGATGATAAAATGGAACCCTACTTGCCCACTTTGCCAATTGGGAACCATTCTGTTTCTCTGTATTCTGTTCTTACAATAGCATCTTGTGCTAAGTACAGATTTCTCATCAGGACTATCAAATGTAGCATAACTTCCATTCCATAGCTTTTTATGATCTATGCCAGAGGTAGGCATCCTAAGGCCTGGGGGCCAGATGCGGCCCCCTGAGGCCTTTGGACCAGCCCCAGGCCGGTCCTGCCACCGCCAATGTTCCCCGCTGCCACTGCCCCCCTCCATGATGATATTATTGTTGTTATTACTTTTTCTTGGGGTTTTCTTGG